CGGATGTAATCGTCAAGGTCACTTCGTCTCCGCTCGGCAACAACACGGATCTGCGAACGACCGATATATTTTTTGCTAGGGAGTTTGGGCAGACTGGTTTCCGGAAAAGCCTCGGAGAGCTTTGAATGTAGCTCGTAAAAGTGACTGAACCTGCGAAAAACAAACGCCGGTTCTTGAACTCCAAGTCGGCAAATGTTTACAACGTAAACGTAATATTTCTCAGGATTGTAGCGCTTGTGGATGTCCACAACACGAGCAGATTCTACCAACCCGTCTGAGTCGACAGAATATGTTCCGTGAACGAATGAAAGAACAGAGCTTGCGCTGGCGTTTGTACCTGTCGAGATTCGTATTTGACTAACGTCTCTGATCTGAGCGACATTATGAATGAAGAAATTGACTTGAGTGAACCATGATGACAGACTAGCCTCGATTAGTCTTGTGAACGCCGCCGTAGCTTCTCCTTCTGAGGAATCTGGAAGCAAGGAATCTCTAATGTACTTTAAATCCGCCACCTGACTCAAGCAGGATATTCCAGAATTCAGCATCAAGGACAACAAATTAAGCAGCAAGTTGGAATGGCGCCGAATGACGTTAAACGCCTTGCAGCAGAGGTCTACAAAGTCTTGAAAACGACTACTCGGCTGGTAGCCTCCGTTTATGACGAAAGCCATGTCTGAAGTCAAGACGAAGGGAGCCCGATCGCGTCGAAATGTGCCGAACATCTGAGCGTTTCCAAGGATCTTGGCGAAATCAATATGAAACATGTGACCACTTTTCTTGATCATGATATTGTCGTTATGACGATCGCCGATACCGAGGACATAAGTGGCAACGCAGTAGCCTGCACACGAAGCTGTAAAATTCTCCACAGCTTGTTGGTAGCTTTCATCGCCAGTGTTGTACTTTTGGATCCATCTTGCTATTGGCTCATCCTTGAAAGAACCTGTCAGACCGAGCTCGGTATGGATTTCTCGAAGCGTGACCGACTCTTTCACAATTTCCACCATCCCCATCCCAACCCCAGTTGCCACACATTTGTAGGTAATCATTTTCAAATCGATTCCTTCTCGTAACCAGATCTTGTTCATGATTCCCACAAGCTGCAGGATAAGCCGGTCTTGTCTCATATCGTCCCCAATTTTGAACATTGCGTGGACATCTTCGCCAAACGGGTCAACGCTCTTGAAAATGAGTTGCAATGGCGCAGAATGCGATGTAAAGTATCCACAGGCTGGAACGTTAACACCTTTCACCTCATAACTTGGGCCTATTGGAAGCCTAAAGGTTGGACCAAAGTTAGCAGCCACCACTGCTAGTTCTTGGTGAAGGACATTCATTCGTGATGATTCTCTTGAGGTTTTGACTTTCCGGGCCACTTCTGCAAGGTCAGCGACAACTTCGTCTTGCATCGTAAACTCGCACCTTTGGGCATTTCCACAGATATTCAACAGACCACCGAGAATAATTTGGAATCGCTGACCGAACTGTGGATCACCGATAGTGTCCTTCAGGTACCAGAAGAGATAATGCATGACTCTGACACTGGCAAGAGCCCGGCGGATAAGGAAGCGAACTAAAGAGGAGTCGTGATAGATTTCATACTTTACGGCCTGGACGAGCTGAGGAAGGTAATCGCACAATTCATCATCAACAACTGCTTCCATCCACTGAACCGCCGTATCTCTCACACGGGTGTCTGGAAAATTGACCTTCAGCAGCTCCAAAGCATCCACTGGTTTTAAAGGGGCCCAAGATGCCAGAAGATTGTAGATTTCTGGAAGGAAACCGTACTCCCAAGATGGCGCTGCAGACAAGATGAGAGGTAGCGCTTTTGGCACTGACATGCAGTAATGGCGATGTTCCCAAAGAAGTTCGCTCTCCTCTGGCTTCAGCTCATTGAAGAGATCTTTCTCCAAAATATTCTTGTATACTTCAGCGGTTTTGGGCTGGGGCTCACAGCGATCCGTTTCATCGCGAGGTAGCCAGCCATTGCTTTCGAAATCTGGAAAGACAATATCAGCCAAATAGCGTTCGAATTCGACTTGCAGAATGACACTGGATGGATGCAGCAGGTTTGATGTACAAGTGCCAACTGGGTTGGCTGCGTCATCCGGCCATAAACCAAGGAGATGCGTTCCCGACACCAAAACGCCCTTAAAATCGAAGAGTGGTAGTGCAACCCACCCAAGTGGAGTTCTGCTGGTATTCAAGGTGTTTCCTTTGCCAATCGGTTGAACGCCATAAAGTGTGAAACACAGACGAGACTCACGTGGGAGTTGACGAACTTGTATCTTGAATTGCAGCCATTCGTTCCACATCAGCTGGTCGAAGAAATTTCGGGTTATCTTAATTTGCTTCGTCACTTCGACTGGGCACGTCAGGCGCCCCCCATAGTAAATTCCACTTCGAACTTCAAAGCTTTCGAAGTCTTGGTTCCATTGCACAGGCAATCTATGGGCGAAGGCCACTTGGATACGGACGTTGTCTGTCATGGCTGTAACCTCTATAGATCCGGACAGTTTGGGTCTCTCTATCCGAGTGGGAACAAACTCGGTATCAAACGCATCACAGTACATCTCGATAAGGAGCAAAACAGCTGATTGCAACTTTGAGAGAGCATCATTCAGATCGAACTGGTTAGGAACCATTCTATCAGAAACCTCAGCAGCCTTTTGTAGATTTTGTAAATTTCGGATGGAATCGATCACCTCTTTCGTTTCCAAGGTTGCCAGGGTGGCACAGATGGCTTTCACGGCTTGGATTGTACGGTTTGGCTCAAACCGTGGCTTGGTGTAACTAGTACTTTCTTCCAAGAGTTTGACCAGTTCTTGATTAAATGCCTCTAACAGCACAGTCAGCCCATATCTCGATACAGCGGTGGTCACAGGGCAGTCAAAAAACTCTTTGTAGTTGTGGGAAACGATGCCATCCAAGTCGTCTTCTTCAGTCCGAGCCAGCTGCCTGGAAACTTGCCAACTCTCGACTAGGACAAGTTCAACTTCACGTTTAAACTTGATGCATTCCTGCACATAGGCATACTGGATAAGGATTCCGTTTGATTCCAGATACTCAGAACGTCCGCAGACTTTAAGCACATACACTGTGGCTGAGCTGTACTCTAGAAATTTAACATCATCTGACAAGCAACTCAGGGCGAGCTCGATTATTTTGCAGACACGGCTATGTACAGTAAAGGTGAACTTGAGGGTGTCCTGTCGTTGATCGGTGTAGATGGCAATAAATGCGTCGGTGTTGTTCGGAAATGCTTCGTGATCATAGGGTATCGTGGGACTTAAAACATGACCGGCGTTCGTTTCTTCATCCCAGCGAAAGTTTGACCTGACAGAGGTCATCGTTGCACTAAAAGCAGTAGCCTCTTCATTCCTCTCTTTGGCGACATCGAACAAACCGTCTCCAAAAAAAAGGAACTTTGAATCACAACCAGAACTGTTCCTTGACATCGATGGACCCAGTGACGTTTTGTCCGACAGTGAAGCAGAGACTGGGCGATTGGAAAGCTTAAAAGGGGGTGACCGACTGGAGGAAACGGACTTCAATCGAACACGTGACTCTTTTGAAGATTGTTGAAGCATACCAACCTCGTCTTCCTCGGGGAGGTTCACTGTCAAAGGTCTTGTATTTCTGGGATATGTTTTAGAGCTGTGTGCATTGTGAGTGTCTTTTGCCAACTTTCCTTCTGACAAAGTTTTTCTCTGGACTGGCTTTCTGAATGATTCTCCTGGAAGCTTTTCACGCTTTAAAGTGATAGAACCGTAGGGGTGTTCTTTGCTAGAATTTGATGAGGTATTGCTGCTGAAAGATTGGTCTGCAATTGCTATTCCAACATCTGAATCATGACCTTTCAAAGTCACATTGAGGAGTCTAGAGGAGTAGGACTGTACACCTACAGCATTTTCAACCTCTGTTTTGCCACTAGGATCCGATGGGTGTCTAGAGTCCATTACTTCTGATGGGGGCCTAAATAATGTGTGATAATTGGGAAATCCACCGTGAGGAAATTCCGCGACTTTGCTTGGTTTTTCCACTGGGTTCCTGGGCGGCGAGAGGTCATCGCAAGAACGGGACGCCCGTAATCTGTTCGCCTCTTCAGGTAAACTGTGACGACCTGTCGCACTCGCGGTGGTAGTCGTAAAATTGAAACAATTTGAGTGTTCTTCTCTAATATGACTTGAATGTGTCAATCTTGCTCCTGGTTTAGTCGACTGTAACGTTCGGTTCGAATTGTCATTTCCGTTTCGAAGATTGCTTGTTTCTTTGCCGTTTGACAAACAGAAATTCGGTGGCAGCGAGCGAACTGTGTCAGCGCCGGATGAACTTATACCCATTCCTTCGAATTCAGAAGACAAGACAGTCAACCAAGAAACATCGGACCTTGAGGCAACATTGTCTTCTTCATCGGAGGAGAAGGACATGAGATCGTCCAAATTTCCTCTCTGTTTTTCCATGGTAAACGATAAACCACATAAACCAGGTAGATTTAAAATGCAAATCAGGCCAATCAGTTTCAATTTCACTACAATCCAGAAATATGTCACTCGCGTGATTCGTTATGATTCAAAATCAAAATATTCGGACTTGCCCTTCCAGGTTCTCAAAAACACGCTGAAACCATCATAACCATTATTACGTCGAAGGATCTCCTCAGAACCATGAATAACAAACTGTGTGTGACGACAAACACTTCAGCTTACTTCAAACTCGTGACTTCAAGTTCTTCCTGTTCGGGTTCGTTTTTAAGCGGAATTTTCGATCCCAGCATAAAATCATTCGATTTAGATTTATCAGAAAAGTACCAAGGCTTCTCTCTCTCTTGCAAAATTTCCTGGGTTGTCACAGAATCTTTACAAACGGCCGAGACAACCGTACTCTCTCCGAAACTTCATCGGTCATTGAAAAATAGACAATTTATAAACAACCAAATTCACGCACACTACATCGCGCATGCGTAATTTAGATACTACCGCTGACATAGGAGGCTCAAACATGGCGGTAAACTTCTTCAGCAAGACTACTTACACCCCCAAGGAACTGGACCTTTATTTTGGTTCTTAATGGCCACATTTGGTTGGAGTTACAAGTCAAATGCAAGTGGAAGCAAACGTCCCAGTGAACAATCGAGAAAAGTTGAGAGCTGGCAGGAGAAACGCGCCGATGACACGCCGAAACCCCTACACCCCCAGTCGCATTCTGCTGAAACTTTAACAGCAGGAACCCAACCCGCAAGGAAAAAATGTAAGTCGTTAAAAACAGATTATTTGAGTCAAGTTAAAATCCTGGCAACTTATTTTTCAAGTAAACATTTGGGAAACTTAAAGTAGCATGTCACTGTACATTACACAAGCTTATTTAAAATGTACTTTCAGTTCAAGATCTTGTAGGGGAACAACTGCATATATATATACTATATATATATATAAATGCTTATTTTTATTTTTATTTTTAATGTATGGCTTCTATTTTAAGCGAAGTGGAGTAGAGTGTTGTAGAAAATGAAATGTGACGTCAAACGAAACAACGAAACGCAAAATGTTATATTAATCACATTTATATTTGTAGTTTTGTAGGAGGCATATGATTGTCCACCTAAGAAACTTTAACCACTCTAAACTGTCAGTTCTTTGATATTATTAGCCGTACTGAAGTGATGTTTTCAAGATGTACCCTTTTGATGTGGTTTGGCTCTTTCCTTCTTTGACAATACTTTTCCTTCAGTTAAATTTTCAATTTCAGGGATTATTTTATGTGATCAAGGTCTTTTGTCTCCATGATATATATCTTAGTTGATTGGTTTTTTGGGGGGATATGGGTGGATAACTTGGGAATTGTGTGTTTTGTATGAAGCAATCAAATAAGGGATTTTAACCTTTCCATAAGAGAAACGGTCCTTCGTTCAGCTTCTCTCTCCTGATGGAAGTGCTAAATTACACCCTGCATCATTAAGTGTCAGTGTATGGTACTTTTGAACAAAGTAGATTTTGGGAGATTGAGCCTCCATGAAAATGTTGTTGATTTGATTGGATCAAGTATAACGATAAAATATACATGATTGCTGTGCCAAACCTTAGCTTCCAAGTAATTTATTTATCCTTTCTGGTTTTTATATCTCTGTCTTCTATCTTTCCCATTCATATATGTTTTGTTGTTAACCCTTTAAATCCCATGAGTGACCAAGACTGAATTTCTCCTTACAATATCAATACAATATCAACCAGATTAGTGATGAGAATAAAGAAAAATATCACTTTGGGGATAATTAGTTGATCCAATAGTAAATTCTCTGAACTAACATTAAAATAATTATATGGTTGACAGTAAGGAGAATGACAAATTTGATCTGAGAGTTAAAGGGTTATTAACATATCCAACTAAGACCCGTCAGTGTATTACAAACAGCCTTTTTTAAACATTTGTGTGGATTTCTTTGGTAAAGTGATTCCTAACGGTGAAGAAATAAAAAGCTACAGATCATCCACCATTCTTGGCATTAGACTGTATTTTCTCATTTCTTTTTATCTCTAAAGATGACCCAAGAGCCAAGATATTTGTTGGTAACTTAGACTGGGAAACTAAAGAAGGTATTGAAGTACTGAAAAAATTAATTATTTGGTAATTTTTATACACTGAAAAGTCAGTAGCAACTAGAAAAGTGGAACCTTTTTATTATCACTTTGTCCGACATTGTGACCCATTTTGCGGACTAACAAGGAGATTTTGGTAAGCTAAACGGTTTTAAACTGTCTCACACACTTGTGTGCTTATTCAGACTGTTTTGTTGTTATTGCATTGATTTAAACTAAGGTATTGGATGTTCATTCCATGATTGAAGGGCCATATACAGAATAAGGCCCCAAGTAATTTTTATGCAACATGCATATTTCTCCCTCTGTTTTATGAGAGAATATATTACAGACAATTTTAAAGAAGAAACAAGGAGTTTCAGAGGGCTTTCCTCTTGGCCACCATTTGAATTATGCTGGCCATAATTATTAGTAAGCTATACATGTAAGGTATTGCCTACAGAAATTTCCTTAGATATGCTCTTATTTTGTCGTGGTATATCATGCAATTGTATAACCTATGTGTAGCCATACCTTCCCCCCCCTTCCAAGGGGAAACAGAAGGGAGGAAATATCTATGAAAACATGACACAAATCATGTTATATGACATCACTCTTTTGTGTGGCGATTATAATGATTTTTTATTGGTCAATCGTTTTGTTGATTCTTTCATGAATTGTGATTGGCTAGAGATGATGGTTTTCTTTCATACTAACAAACAAGATGGTGAGCAGAGTACCTTCATGGTCAACTATGCAAATAACCGCAACTTATAACAAGGTTTTAAGGCAAGTCTGCATGACTTCGGGATAGAGAAATTTCAAGAAGAACAGTGGATTGCTATAGATGCCAGTATGTTTTTCAAAGGTGACTATGTTTCCACTTGGTGCCCAACTGGCTATGGAATCTTTTTAATTTATCAAGCCGTGCAAGTGATCAATTGCCTTTCTTTTCTAGAGAAAAATGTCCACTATATATTTATTGTGGCACCTGTGAAAGCTCTCATGGAAGACCAGGTTGACTATCTCAATGCATTTGGGCCAAGGTGATTGTCTTCCTTCAACTCTCAGTCTCTTTGAGAGTGGTGCTGCAAAGCTAATTAAGCTATTTATTTCTAGCAGCAATCCTTTAGACTGAAAAATGATTTGCTCTTTCTTCACACTTGCAGCATAACTATCTCTTAAAGAAATCTGTAAAACCCTGAGATTCTGTGGTAAATGATCCAATTTTTCTTAGACAACTGTGGCACTATCTACAAATGTAAGAAGAGACTGTGTGGATGTTGAAATCTACTTTTGTTAGTGTGATGTTAATCAAACATCACCCTCTTCTTATTGACTCTATACCAAGAATTGCTTATAATCTTTGTACATATTCTTTAAGCAAATTATATATAAATAAATAAATCATGGAAAGTGAATTCACTTCAACTTTGTTGTTCACCTTGATTACTTTTCACTCTAGCATGTGCCACTTTGCAAAAATATTATCAAGTTACTTAATTTTGCATAGATTAGAGTGGCATGATATAACACAATTTGTGTCAGGTTTTCCTAGATGTTCACTTCCTTCTGTTTCTCCTTGAGGGGAAGGGTACAGCTACCTATAGGCTAGACATTGTGATTTCCAGTAATGTTTGAGTTGTATGTCAGCTAACATATCACACATAATTATCATAAGCCAGGGCAGCAGTGGAGAGCATTATAATATAATGGAAATAAGGATTTTGACTTCAATGTTTGATATTCTGAATATTTTTTTTGCAGTAACCATTGCTGAAATATTTTCTACCTTTGGAGAAATAGAGGCAGTTAAGGTATAATATATTTACTAGCTTAGCTAAGGGGTAAAGGGACACTCAAGAGATTGATCAGCCCTGTCAAATATAAAAAACCTATCAGTTTATTATGGAGATTATTTTTGGGCAAAGAAATAAGACCTTATTATCAATGAAAACAAGGATTATTTGAAAAGTAGAGGGTGTCTTTTGCGTTAATTTTTACCTTTATCTTTAACTCCCAAGATCTCTCTCACTATATTTCATTTCTTCTTCTTCTTCTTCTTGTCATTTTGCTTTCCTTGACTGTAAGGATAAATTATTTAATGGGCTCTCTTAGTGATGAAAGGGTTCGCCCTAATTTTCCTTCCTGAAGAGACTTGTAACCAAATGGTCACTGCCATTTTAATACACTTTCAAGAACACATTTGATGATAACTAAAAAGTTGGTGAAGTGATGGTTATAGCATTTCCCAGAGTAACACCAGATTGTCAGGGTATCAATTAGGCATTACAGATCAGACAATGCTCTGGCTATAGAACAAAGAATATTTCGGCTAAATTTTGATGGCCTGATCAAGGTTTTGTTTAAATGTGTAGCTGTTTTGTGGTTTATTATTCTGTCACTATACACATAATTCTCCAGCTATAAAATTTCATAATGAAAGCTTTGAATTGTCAGAGTGATCACAGTATGAAATGTGTCGTAATCAGTTAGAAGAATGGACTCTTGGGAGTGAGAGGGTTGTGTAACACTCAGGGTGCAATTAATGGGAATTTGCTTTGAATGTTCTCAACCCTTATCAGGTATAAGGTGTAAAATACCAATCAAATTTTTCATATTTATTTTGATATTTGCTAAATTAAATGTTAGTTTGTTATTTTTTTTAATCTCTCTGTTTCTGAACCATTTGATATTTGTTTCTGGGTGGAAGTTGATGATAACACACTAGCTGTGGATATTTGATAATTAAATTACTGACCAAATTATCAAGTTCGTGATTGTGTTTTAATCCTATGTAATACATTTACTTACTTGTAGCTCATCAAGGATCATGAAACTGGCATTTCAAGAGGGTTTGCCTTCATTACATTCTGTGAAGTGGACTCTGGTAATTATTTTTTTATTACCAAAAATTCTATTTTGTTGTTTGAATTGATTTTCATTTGCATGTAAGATGATGACTTCCATCCAATTTGATTGGTACTTTCCTATGTTTTATGACTATCAACTTATAAAGATCCCAAAACTAAGGAGAAGCAATGTGACAATTTTTTTTGAAGTATGAATCAAAATGTAGGTGTACTTCTTTCAGAAAATATAAATTAAACTGTCTTTTGACCTTGGCTAGCCCTATCAATAGCAATTTCCAGCTGTACCTAGGGCCTGTGTATGATATTAGAGTGGCACTTTATTAGACTATAACTGATGTGAAATTCTGAATATGTATGCAACATATACATTTACAAGACATAGAGGGGCTCATTGTTAATAACACCGTGGAATTAAAGTCCCTGGCAGTCACGTCTTGTAGCAAGTGTTGTTGTGAGCATCTGTCTAAGTTTTTTTTTTTGCTTTCATTCTCTTTTTACAGCTGTGAAATGTAAAACATGGTGTGCTTATAACCATTTGGTAGGTTCATACTCATGTTTCTATTTACTAAGGAAATTGGCATTTTGAAGATTAGTGAGGAAAATTTTGTTGACACATCAATGACCATTGTTGTTATTTAATGATAACATCAATGCTCAGAAGAATCATGTTAGGTCACTTTTATCTTTTGTGATGAAGTTATAGTTATGTAATTATTGCTAGCTATTTGGTAAAATTTTAAAGCAAACAAACTCATTCCTTTTCCTTTTTCTAATTAATAGTCTTTTTCAGCACCATCTCCCAAAATTATGTGATTTTCACTAATGAACATATCAGTTATGATAATAGGTGGAGAGTACAGTTGTAAGGTGTAATTATGCTAATGACAATAAGTTGCATTCGTGTGGTCAGGGAAAGCTTGTTATTGTCAAGGAAAAATGGGATGACTGTGAAACCTGATGTCTGTAATAACCATGTTTTGTAGACTTGCATGTGTCCAAATAGATCTGTACAACTACACACATTGAATGCAATAAGTATAACAAAGTAAATCAATACATTTTCATCACCAGAAAATTGATGATAGAAATGTAACTGTGAGGGCTGCTGAGCGTCGACAGGTGAGTTCACATCATTTATTTTTATGTTACACCATAATTTGGCATCACTGTCATTGATATTTAAGAATTTGTTCATGCGTAGCATGCATATATCGAGTTAAGAATGCATGCGGGAAGTTTGGAGTGCACAAGAAATGCATGAGAGTAGCTTGAGGTGCAGCTGAGAGCAACTCTAGCTTTTGGAGTGCTCTTCAAACTTCCCAAGTGCATCCATAACTTGATATATGCACAGCTAAAAGCATGAGCAAATTCTTTTATAACAGAGCGACAACAAGGATCTGTGCTAAGAAGCCTTTTATTGTGATAGTGTTTTGGTTTTGGTAAATTCCCAATTAACAACTGTGTACTTTATTCCCCAGGGTGAACAAATTTAAAAACAACAATTAAAACGGAAATTTTTACTGTTAAATGTTGTTAATGACCAATTGGTGACTTTTTTGTTCCCAGTGAATGTCTTTCAGCCAAAATTTGCTGCAGCTGGTCTTCCACCAAATTTGTGAAACATGCAACTTGCGAGTTTTTTTGGGCTTTATTTGTTGCTTGTTGTATCAGGACCTAAAGGGTCAATGCCAATAGAAAAATTGGGTAGTTCTTTGCTGGTTTCTTCCATATTTCAAAGAGAAAGAGAACTGCACTGCAGCTTAACAGGATGGAAACTCTGAAGCCGGGTAAAAAAAAATGCTCACATCATCTCATTTACGCACGGGCGTGCATAAATAAAGATTTTGTTCATAGCAGCTCAATAGGACTTATATAGGGCAAGCACAGATGCACGAAAAGCCCATGAATAAAATACACTCTGAACTAGTGCTATCCATAAATCTTAAACTAAAGCATCCAATCATGAAAAAAAAGTTAGATCTAACACAAGAAGCCACATAGATGTAAGTGATTGCCATCATGAGGAAACTTGGGAGAAATTTTCTTGCAAATTGATTTTGCTTGAAAAATCAATACTAATTTGATTGCTTTAAATTGTAGTTTTTACCAAGTTATAAGTTTGTAGGTTTGCAAGTCAATCATTAAGTATTGATAAACTTATCCCAATTTTCCTGATGTAATGTAAGGTTAAAAATGGTATTCTATGTTGTTGTAGTATTAAATCTATCACAAGCAAAGGGAGAAAAACATATTTCCTTTACTAAATGAACTTTTTTCCCTCTTCACTTTACCTGTAGACTAATTATGCAGCAATTGAAAAGAGGAAATGTGCAGAGGATAATAACCCCACATTATACTGGGAGTACAAATGGGCTGAGGACCCCAAATCAGAGGTAGAAATTTATTTAGATATAGGCAGCTCACACTGCGAAAGGTTTTTCTCCACAGTTAACAAATCCCAGTCATTCCATCAGTGCTACCAATGCACCTGTTGACAACAACAAAAACCTTTTTTTTTTCTTTCCTTACTCATTTTCATGCTTTCATTGTTGCAATTGGCCTGGTCCACAGATACTGTACATTGGAGCTGGGTTTTATGGCCAGCTACAGTGATTATTACTGTTAAACGATGAACTTGTGTAGTCAAAAGGGTGCCCATAGGTATGCATGTTTAATGTCTTATCTGATAGCGGAAGAGGACTTTAAAATGTCCTTTTTGTGTTTCCAGAATTGCTACACAAATTGTGTCTCTATTCCTCAGGTTTATGGTCCCTATGAGACAAGTTTGATGTTACAGTGGTCTAAAGCTGTAAGTATTTGGATATGTTCTGAAAAATAATTTGGAAAGCAAAAGAATATCCAATCACTTTTAATTAGCTGTGGATGGAGGAAGCTCAGGGAACACTTGATTATCCTATTTGACTTTGTCTTGGAAAAATGGTAGTTTAATGTACTACATGATGGGCAAAATTAGAGGTTCTTCAATATTTTTTTTCGTTTTCAATGGATTTATTCGTGAAAATTGTGCTTCCTTTTTAATGCTTTCACTTCCAAGATGTCATTGGTAATTCTCCTTACTGTCTCCCATACAATTCCTATTAATGTCAGTTCAGAGAATTTGGTATTGGAAAGACTAATAATCTCCTAGTTGATATTTTTCTTTATTCTTATTACTTGTCTGCTTGAAGTTGTATTGAAATTATAAGGAGAAATTCTCTGTTGATCACTCATAGGAGTGAATTTTTAAGTTAATTTCTTCCCTTATGTTTTCTCATTTTAGGGATATTTTGACGCAGGTTGTTGGGTGCGAGAACACGTGACCAAACAAAGTGACGAGAACTCATCTGAACCTTCATGTAAGACAGCGAGACTAGTGGATCAAAGTTATTCCGATTCGAGTGATTCTGAGGATGATACACCGTCTGTGGGGCACCCTGAGGAAAATGAATTTCTTCATGTGTCTGAGATAGATTTCTCTATATTTCCATGAGTAAGTGCAACGCCTGGAACATCAGACAGTTTGAGTGTTAACGGAGTATGTGACACATCGGCATCGGTGAGATCATTGGTAGTATTGGAAGGATAGCTAAATGAAAGAGGAAATTCATTTTATATTCAAACTTTGAGTGGCCAGATAGTCCTGCTCGCCGTCTTTTGTTTATTTCGTCACGCAATGCATTCTAATCAGGACTAGCGGCGAGAGACTGTCACGACAATAACAACATGAAACCTTAAGCAAGACAGGTCACTCATATTGATATCTACCTTTGAACAAATGAAGGACGAATAGCATAAAACATTACATCATTACTTCACCGTGTTCAAAATATGTTTTTCTCGAAGTTTGGCCCACAGACGTCTGTTTGTTTACATCGAGCACTAGTAAGGTTTATTCAAGTGAGCTGTGGTTGAAGTTTTTGACACGTCAGCTACTTTGAAGACTATTCTCTAAATTTTTAGACCCCTCGTTATATCATTCGAAAGAAATGGTTTCATGTTTAGTTCTTGTAAGCTAGTCAAACTTGCTGATGGTTAAATTTAAATTTTAGTTACGCGAACAAATCAAGAACCTGATCTATCAGACCTAAAATTACCGCTTCATTGAACATTACACTTTGTCAAACTAATTGACTGTGTCAAAGTGTCATTTAAATTCTAAAATCTGTTTTATCTTCCTTTAACGGCTGGCGGTGAATCTAAATGGACTAAAATGAATGAAGAACCTCGTATCACAATTTCGGCTGGCTGTCTTATATGTGAAAAACGTCAAAATTCCCCCGATCACAAAGCATCCCAAACCATCTCAAGGATTATAGGTTAATACAAAAGGAAATGATGTTCCATTGTTTTCTCTTGCTTAAAAATGGAACATTTGGTTATTTACCCGAGGTCTAAACAGAACCACGGTTTTACGCATTCAGTGGGCCTTAGGCTTTCTCCATAAAATGGTTGATTTACTTAAATAAATTTCCTTCTACTTTAAGGTTTTTTGGCCCTCGTGACGCTCTTCACAAAAATAAGCGTTCAGATAAAAGGTTGAGCTAAATTGAGGATTGTTTAGGACGGAGTTTCGTTTAGCAACGGCAAAACTTTGTTAACCGGCCCTTCAAGCATTTTACAGAGGCAGTACGATTCATGGTATAGCTAACCAAAAAGGAATAATTATACGAAACGCCGAACTGACCGCAATCAGATGTTGACGTTATTTTCATCAACTTGTCGCCCATTTCTATTTGCTTTTCTGTCTAGGCTTGAATAATACGTGTAAAATGAGCAACAAAGATAAGCGGTACTATTTCTGTTCACCGAGAATCTGTTCAACCACAGTTTGCACTTCTGGGTAAGGCCTTCTAAATCAAATTCGTTTCTGTCGGCCCGGAAGAACTAACTGTCGTAGATACCACGGGCATGTTTCTTTTGAACAGAGGTCATTTGAAAATAAACGGAGCATGGAACGGTTTGTAATCAATGATTTCGAATGAATGAGGAAAGTAGTGATCTGATCGGTTGACAAGGAAGCGATTCTTTTTTTAAACCAACCGTAGAAATTAGTGAAGCAAACCAGTGCGAACAATAAAAACTGAACTGAAAATTCAGTTACTATGAATTTTGACCTGCTGAAACGACCGATCACATAAAATCCGGCCTCATCGCCTCTGATAATGTTTTCAAGAAAAATGAACCAAAAACATTTAAAGTCTTCGCTATTGATAGAATTCGTGGTAATTCATGAAGACAAGGAACTGGACGGTCACATAAACGTAGCACATGCACTACAAATAATCAGGTAGAAAAATCACGAAGATTGCCAAACTCTAGAATTATTTCTTTCGCGCTTTTAGCCTATAAATATCTAAACGCCAGGCAAGAGCTAAGAGCTCTTCCTCGCATGGCGTTGTACATTGGCGGGTTTCAATTTCTCCTGTCCGACTCGGTTGAAGCAGCTCGACATGAACTGAAGGCAAGTTCGTACACACGAACTCTGACGAAGGGCTAACGCTCGAAACGTCAGCTTTTTTACCCTTTACGGTGGCTAATTTACGTTTTCAACTCAGTTGTTAACACCAAATTACCTGCTTAGTTTAGGGTACACGTGCTCGTTTACATAGTTAACTGTCTCATAAATAACGCAGTTAGTTCACAAGAATACCGGGCTGAATATGAAGAATACAAACCAGTAAAAGACAAACCAAGACTATGTCTAACCTGTTTTATGACCATTATTTTCTGTCTATTTAATTTCCAGCGATTGAATCTTGGAGCAGGAATAATACGAATGAAACATTTTCAGTGATTTATGCAAAAATGGTTCTGGGCATTTAGCTTAACAACGAATGTGTGCATTGTGTCTCGAGACTTTCCAGTGATTATTCCTATCAATACTTCATTCGAACGAAACTTGTCGCTGTGAAATTTACATAGGCTGAAACAACTTTTAAGCGACTGTTTCAGCACTTTTGTACGCTAAATTTAATAACTTTGTTGAATGTTTTATAAGATTTGATATGAGTCATATCCTAAACATCAATCATATGCGTAATTGTGCGTTCCAAATTTGTCAATTAACCCACTTTGATTATAGAAGTAAAATACGAGGTTACTATCACGTATGGGAAGCATAGCCAGAGGCATCTGTTACTGGATTTTTAAAGTATGTGAAACAAAACAGTCTTGATTTTCTTAATAAGTACACTTTGTTGAATCCAAATCAGCCACAAATTGCAGTGTGTGACGGAAAATGACGACTGGTTGTTTACTGATACTGGAAAATTCTCGTCCACGAAAATAAATATTCATACACACGGCTTTCAATGAAATCAGAGACAGTCATCAATATAATTGAAGTTTATTCTCTAGCCACATTCAGCTTGGCGAAAATTTCTGTAATCGAAAGCTAATTCGACCTCGTTACGTGGACGGAAAATTTATTTCTTCCACGGAAATGAAGCCTGGTACAACGCATTTTTCTACTCGTGTGGGCCTCTGGGTTGTGGTGGTGTGCGTGATTTCCGCTACATTTCTGATTTCCAACTATCTGGTTGTTAATGAGCGTATTGCCGCTATGGAAGGAAAACTAGAAAGTCTGCAGAGAGGTGAGAATTTAAACCAAGATGTTTCTTCTGACGAACAAACAGGTGGCAAAGACGAGCATCATGTCAGAAGAAAAAGAGCGTTGAAACAAAGAACTCAAGCGCGCGCTATCGCAGATTTTGAAAAACGACTTCGAGCTTTGGAGAAAAGGTATCTCTACCTAATACTTTGTTTTGTCTACTGAAAAAAACCACCTTGCCATTGTGTCACTTGTTTAATGAAAATTTATTTCCCTTTATCTATGAATAAAATTTGCCTTTCGGTCAATAAATAAGTAATCTCTCAGAGCATCACACGATGCATCAATCGGGAGAGCTTTTCCTTCAGATTAGCTAAACACTTCATTCTCTCGCAAATTTAACATTACTCTCAAGTTTTCTTTGATTAAGACAAGAATATCAGGGAAAGGAGAATTTAATTATCAGCTGAAAATTGAGTGTATTGCGCGTTACGCGCACCACATACAACTTTTGCTTAAAATCTAATTTTGAGGGAATCCCACAATTATCAATCTGTTTCTTCATTTGCAAATAACATTACTTCCTATATTTTTTTAGCTTGTATACAATCCCGCAGACTGAATCTGCTTGAGCTGATTATTACGTTATTTCAATCTGATAGGATCAATGCCAACAATCGGTCTATGATGTCCCCAAGCGAGCATAGTGATTGGTGGTTTCTTGCATATCTTCGAGGTTTGTAAACCTATGACGGTTTAAAATTGATTCTTGCTTTTTTTGTTGTTGTTGTTTGATTTGCCACAATCAATAAAAGAATGTTAGCACAAATTCAAATTCTCAATTCAAATTTCTCAAACAGGGCGAGATGGTCGAGATGGCAGGGAAGGCCTCATGGGCCCTCCTGGACCGCCTTGAAAGCCGGGTACCCCAGGGATGGCGGGAAAACCGGGTGCACCAGGGCCAAAGGGTAAGAATTTAACAACAACAATTGCTACTAAGTACAGGAACATCATAAGCTGCACAAACAGAGGTATCTTAAACAGCTGAAACAAAAGAGGTCAGAGTTACAAGTTAGATGTGTCTCAAATTAGACAAAATACAGAGATATCCAAATCTGAACAAACAACGCAGTAGCCACAAACTGGACAAACAACTAAGATGTTACAAAATGGACACCCAAAAGAGTGTCACAAACCACAAATAAAGAGATGTCACAATTTGAACAAAAAACAAACGTGTCACAAACTGGACAAAAATTAGAGATGACAGAAACTGAACAAAAATCAGGTGTCACAAATTGAACAAACAGCAAATGTCTTAAAAACTGTACAAACAAAAGAAATGTCGTTAGCTGGAAAACAACGGAAATGTCATTAACGAGAAAAACAACAAAGGTGACACAAACTAAACAAACAACAAAGGTGACACAAACTGAACAAACAACAATGGCGTCACTAAATTGACAAGCTAGAGAGGTGTTACAAAATGAACAAATAAAAGAAAGGTCACAAACTGGACGAACAGAGGCATCATAGACTGCTTAAGGAAAAGATACATTGCAGACCTGAAGCAACAGAAGGCAATTTATTTCTTTTCTTTTGTCGCTACGATGTTGGTCAAACAGGACAGTCTGGACATGGTACTAACAAGCCGGTTCCAGGTCCCCCAGGTCCTAGGGGACAGCAAGGCCCTGGTGGGAGCCCTGGGCGCCAGGGGCCCCAAGGGCCCAAAGGTAATAAAGGGCAGGATGGGGCTGGTATTACTGGAGTGAAATATGTCCGCTGGGGAAAGACCAAGTGTTCTAGCGGTGCTCAATTGGTTTATGAAGGTGAGAATTGCTTACTATGTTTCAGAATACTACTATCCTCGAAATGTTAACTGCGTGTAGAGAGTGGTGGTGAAAAAGTTACTAAAAGAGGACTTGAACGTTTGTAAGGCTACTGAAAAATTTCTTTTTAATTTTCAATCAAATATACACAGGGTTGAATTGAATAGATGAGTGATCTTAAATTTTTTCTTAGGTATAATTGGGAGTAGCCATTACAGCCATCTTGGTGGAGGAGGAGAATACATTTGTCTGCCAAAGGTCCCGAAGTACGACAAATACAAGGACGGATATCAATCGCACTCATACATTTATGGCACTGAATATGAAGTCAGTGGGTTCAATCCATTTAAAAACAGCCTACATGATCACGACGCCCCATGTGCAGTATGTTACGTCAGCTCACGTGCGACCCAGCTGATGATGCCCGCTAGGAATGATTGCCCCTCCGCTTGGACCGAAGAGTACCATGGGTACCTGATGTCGGAGCGCCACAACCACAAACAGTCTCGCAACTTCATTTGCGTTGACCGAGACGCGGAGTTTGTTCACGGCAGCCGTGCAAACGTCGATGGTGCCCTTCTGTACCTTGTGGAAGGTCAGTGTGGCTCGTTGCCATGCCTACCTTATGTTGGTGGTAGGGAATTGACTTGCGCTGTATGCACCAAGTGATGAGTCAACCGTGAAAAAGCTCTTCAGACACTAGTGGCTTTAGATTTTCGAGAAAGCTTTTAATATTCGAGATTTTGTATGGGCTGAGGCTAAAAGAAAAGGGAAAAGTTTTATTTTATTAATGAATAAACAACTTAAAACGTTTACCCAAGAATAGGGTTTTTGTATTGTTGTTTTTCTTTTGCTTAACTTTGTTTTTTTTTTTTTTTTTTTAATTTTGTTTTTGTGTCTGTTTCTGTCTCTATTTTTTCTTTCATCGAGTAAACTGTTCCACGGCAACCATGAATGCCATATTCGTTGGAAAAGTGGAAAACGTCTTTCGCCATCTTCCCTTTATAAAATTTATATGAACAGAAATTTTGTATTCCTGAAATTGCCTTTCTTTCCATATCGCCAGAAACAAGGTTCGATTAAAGGAATTTCCGACAGAATTTTTTTGGTCATTCAACCTGTTTTGGGATCAAAACAACCAAGATACCACACTAAGAAACTGCTGACTCAGCTCTTGAGACATGAATGTCGACCGAATCTCCACAGAAAAGTTCATGCAAACCTAATTTTAATTTGCTTTTCGAAAAATGCCAAATTTCTACGTAAAACCTTGATAACTGAGGTTCATAGAGAAACGGGAACAAACAAACGGTCCCGGTTATACTTGTTGTAATTAGGATTAAGTTTACTGACTTATGTTCACTTTTGATCAAAATAAATATTAGTGGAAAACAATATGTCATAATTGGAGCTTTAACCAAAACCTTTTCTCCCCAAAGAAATGACCAGGCTCAGGGATCGCTAGAAAGGCAAAAAGGAGGAAAAGTAACGCAAATTATTTTGCTATGAGAGGAAGGATGAGGCTTTCTTATGATTTAAACACATAACTTAAATTTTTGTCTTAAATATATCTAACGAAATATCTGACTCAGGGCCAGTTGCACGACAAATCACACGAATGTTA